CTCTATATTCCTTTAATAAATTTGTTTTTTTTTTATAATTTATTTTTGTGTACATGTGAAATACCCGGAATAAGTCAAAGATATAAAAGAATAAGCCAAAAAAAATGGATGACAACAAAAAACCCGGTGGTAATGTTGATCATATTATGACGGGGAAGCAACAAAAACAAATTTTGTACAACACCAAGAAGTAGAAGGGCAAAACACAGAAAAAACAACCAAGACGACAAAGAAGAAGAAATAATAAAAAGACGTTAAAAAAAGACCAAACATTAAAAAAAGGTAAAGGCGGCATCATAAATGTTTATAAGACGAGGTTGGTTGGTTGGTTGGATAGACAGGGTTTGGCTTTTGTTGTCTGTTAGATGATGGCCAGGCCAAGTGAACAAATGAACGAACGCGACCCTCTACATGTCTGTCCTTACAGCAATTTTCTTATAATTGGGTGTGTGTCTGTGTGTATTTGAGTTTCTTTGTCCGTCATCTCGTTTTTTTCTAATACAAAAAATATTGTGCGTGAGTTACGGACTTAGATGGCCAAGCAGGCAGACAGACAGTCAACCCGTCGATCGTCGTCATATATTGTTGTATACAAATAATGTTTTGTTGTTGTTGTTGTTATTTTGTATTTTCATTCCCTGTGCGTTATTTATTCATTTTGTTAAGAAACTCTGTGTTAAAAGTTTGAAGCTTGCCTTCTGTGGGTTCTTTGGAAACAAAAAAAATTACCACCTCTCTCTATCTCTCGCTCGTTGCCTGCACTTTTGTGTAAGGCAATTTTTGTGGTTCCTTGGTACATTTTTTTATTGGCTTTTGGAATTAGAACAAGAAGACGAAGAAAAATGTCATAAATACATTCCACTACATGTACACATAAATACTTGTTATGGAAGTTGTAAGTTTTTTATTTATGTTGCTGCATTTTGTCAAGATTTGTTAATGTTTGTTTTTTCCTGAGATTTCTTTGAATTCTCTTCTTGGTATCTAAGAATTTATTACCACGTTTCTTTTTTTTTGTTTTGAAACAGTAGTTAGTTAATTTTTTCTTCAACATTTAAGTGATAATTAAATTAACGGCCAGTTGTCTTAGATTTATTGCTCGTAATAATATACGATTTTAATTAGAAACATACAAAAATGTTTGTAGTTTGTGGACAATAGATTTGATTGTCGGGTATTTTAAGGAGTTAGAGAAAAAAATAAGGTGTTAACTAGTAATAAATCTCAAATGTTTAAACAAACATTTTGAGAACGGACAATTAGTGTTGTCTGGGGGGATCGGGCTAAAATATAGGCCTCAAATGTTTCCATCAAATGTGAAATTTCAAGAATTGAAAAGAATTATTTATATTTTGAAAATGAAGAAGCACTAAAACATCAAATAGTACCGAAATTCCATTACAATTTAGAAAAAAAAAAGGTTTAAAGATATCTGTCTAAAATAAAAAAGACAATATAATAAATCTAAAAGGAAGACTTAAAGAGATTTTATACATCTCCATGTATTCAGGAAATAACAGGGAGCCTCCGGATTTATTAGATCGTTAACAATTACTTGGATTACATTAACCACATGTTTTGAAATCAAGAAGGGAAAAATATTAGAAACATTAAAAAATATTACAACTGGCAAATTCTGTGTTTTTCAGATTTAGTTCCTTAGATCGTTAACAGTTACTTGGATGAAATATTATATTAAAATATACTGACGAGCCTTTTTTAAGAATTAATAAGTTTTCTCTATAAAATTTTAAGGATTTAACGAACTCGTGTGGCTTGTTACAATTTTACATTAGCAAATGTTTGTATGATGTTGACTCGAAATTGTTCGTTTGAAAATGTTCATAAATTGGCTGCAACTCTGAAGCCACTAAGAAATCATCAATTCAATCAAGTCCCTTATATCTTTAAAGTTACTTGGATAATTCTAGATATAATAAATTTATTAGAAAAAATAAAAAACAACCCAATGTCCAGTAGAGAGACTGTTTTACGCACAAACTCCGAAACCTCTAATCACTCATTATATCAATTATGTTCCCTTAGATCGTTAATAGTTATTTGGATAAGTCTATTTTACGTATAATAAATTCAAAAAATGTTTAGTGTTGACTCCTAGGAATAGTTTAATAAAAATCATTCTGTTAAAATGCCTATCTCAGGCATAATGATGATGTACACACGAATTAACAGTGAAACCGCCAATGGCTCATAATATCAGTTATGATTCCTTAGATCGTTAACAGTTACTTGAAAAATTGTGGTAATTTTTGAGCTAAAAAATTAACCTAATCCGGTACAATGTAAACGTACTATAATAAATAGAAATATAATTACAAATATTTAATAGCTTAATATGAAATGTTTTTATTGCAAAAATAAGTTGTTTGTATAAAAAATCAATTTCCGGGGAACAATCACCCTAGCCAACACTGCCATGAAGTAATTTTTATTTCAACAATTCTATCAATACTATACTCCTGGATTTTTTTTCCTATTTACTTTTATTTTCTCATAATACTAACTACTTTATAAGCAATATGTATAAAAATTGAAGGAATAGAATTTCAGTATAAATGTGTAATTACTTAAGAGCCAGGTACACTCGTAAGAAATACACCTGTCTATAAAAATATCACATTACAAAATAAACACAGCAAAATTCAGGTAAGAACAAAAATATCTAGCAAAATATTGAAAAAGAAAAGAAAAATAAATACTAGAAACTATTCATAAATAAATAAAATTTAAAGGGGAGTAGAAGCGAGGAAAAATTCTAAATTACATTTTAACTCCTTAACTACTTTCCTCGATATTTTTTTTAAAATTTCACAATAGTATAACTCTTATAATAAATAGTGGATTTGTTGTGAATTTTTATTGGTTTCCATTATATAATTATTGTGGGCATAAATGTTTAATATTTTCATTTATACTCTTAAAACATAAATGTGAAACATTTTTAATTCTTTAATTTTTATGGAGTAATATTTGTTATTTAAATGATAAAATATTTTTTAATGTTCAATACTATCTTTGCATGCATTCCACAATTTATTTTGAAACTCAATGAAAATACTTCAATACTGCATCAATAATGTTTATTTCACCTATCCACTTCAGACAAATTCCTATATTCCTTATATCTTATTTTAAATATTTTGAAAATGCACTAAATTTCAATTCCCTTTGATGCTATTTTTTTCTTTGAGACAATAAAACTAAACTAAATTTTTATTGCCTAATCTCGACGATTTACTTTTATTTTTGCCCCTTTTTATTCTCGTAGTTTGATTTAGACATAAATATACCTTGAAATAAAACACATCACTTGGTTATCTATCCCTTTTCTGTTTTAACTACCTAAAATTTCCTTTTAATTTTATTTAAAACTAATATTATTTCTTTCGAATAAGCAAAAAGCCCTTTAAATTCCAACAAATAACTGTGAATCTGTCAAAGTGATTTAATTTTTAATGATCTCAATGGTTCTTTCTCTATTAAATGTTAATGACAATGAGTAATAACGGTTGCTCTTTGAATTAAAAGGCATGCTTCACTTTGTTTACATTCCCATTCTATTTAATTTTTAGAAAAAAAATAAAGTAATTGACCTATGTATGTTTTAAAGCCTGTATTTAGTAATTCTATATTAATTTACATTTTTTTATTTTTGCCATCAATAACATTTCTGATTAAACGGGGCTAGCTTCCTTCTAAAGCCTCTCTCTCTCTCACCGCCACCTATCATCCAATTAGTGCAGTGGGGATTATTTTAGATAATTTTATTTATTTTACATTACTTTATTTAAAGTCTCTTATTCCATATCCATTTTAGAAATATATGTGGTCTAAATTCTAACAAAAATGTCATTATTATTACTATTCGAGTAGTGACAACTTCCTAGTTTAACCCTCTCACTAACTCTTCTCTCATTTCCCCATAGCACAGCAACAAACTCTCCTTGACAATTTGGCACAATGATAAACGAACCCATATGTATCATGGATAATGTCGATAGAGAGATAAAAGCAACTCATAAAAGAGCAATATAAAAACAGGGTTCAAAGGAAATATGGGAATAAAAATAAAAAAGGAAACACGAACTGGTTAACGAACAAAATAATGATATTCCTAAACGACACACACACACTCACAAAAACACAACTCGGGCTCTTAACCAAATAGAGTTATGGCAACAATGAACAACGACTATAATCGGGTTTTCCCTTTGCTTGTTTACTTATCCCCGGTACAAAAACACGCAGACACACATACATACATACTCGTACATGTTGTTTGATGTTGTTGTTTTTGGGTGGTAAGTGTCTCGGCTAACGTCACGGCGGCCAGCCAGCCAATATTCCAGCCGTACTTGAAAAAGAACCATAAAAGACACGAACAAAAAGGAAAACGAAACAAGTAAGATACAGACAGACAGAAAGACAGCAACAACAACAAAAATAAAAAACAACAACGTACAAAGGAATTACAATGATCATCAAACGGGCAGTCAGGCAGGCATAGAGCGCGGTGTGTAGGGATTTAGACTTGTGTTGTGTAAAGCCGTTGTTTTCAGATGTTGTTGTTGTTGCTGGTATGCCTGTGTGTGTGAATGTGTGCGTGTATTTCTTAAAGACTTGTTGTGGCAGTTGCAAGAAAAAGCAATAAAAACAGTAAATTATCTTTGTAGATGTATGTATGCATGTGTGTGTATGAATGTTGGTCGATCGGTCGTTTGGATGGTTGGTTTCTGAGCAAAAGTATCTTATGGATTTGATTTTAAAGCAAGATACAAATACACACACACGCATACATATACACTTATGTATTGCATTTTCAAAATGGAGAACAATTAAATGTGATTTTTCGTGTAAGGAATGACAAAAAATAGCAAGAAGAAGAATAAGCAGCAGCTAGCAATTCCTTAGGGCAAGAAACTTTTTTCTTTTTTGAAAAAAGGAAAATTACAAATATGAAATAATTTCAATTAACTTACCCGCTTCGGCAATTCCCTGAATTAATATGGAGGGTATCAGTAGGCACCATAATGTTAAATATTTTATCCAAAATATATCAGACTTTGCAAAGGTGTGGTTTTTAACCAGTAGCCACATTATAATCCAGTTTTGTGGCTGCTTGGGTGTAGAGTGAAAGAAAGAAAAAAATGAAGGCAGGAGTAGCGAGCGAGTCAGCCGCTTAATGTTCGGGGCTCTGTATCCAATGGAATCTTTAAACTAACCCACGAACAAGGAACGTTAAGGTTAGTTTAAATGATTTTTTTCTCGGTGTGTTTTTGTTGTAATTTATTTTTTGCAATCTATAAAAAATGTTGTTGCTGGCCAATTAAAAAAAAAATATATGGAAATTTTTTGCACTTCTTTAAATTTGTTTGAGTTTTAATTTCTTTTCATATTTGTTCTCCTTGGAAAATGTTTTTTTGACTTTATTTTATTGTAATTTTTTGTTGTACACAATTCTCCTTATTTCTTTCCAATTTGCAACAAACTATTTTTTAAACGACTTTAAGTCGTTCCTTAAAAGTGGTCGCTAGCCACATAGCTTTAGTTTTCTTTTGATTTTTTTTTTGTCGCAGTTATTTTTTGTTGTTTTTAGGTATTTTTTTTGTTAAATTCTCACACACCGCACTTCACTATAAAATTAAATATATAGTACAACAAAATAATAAAAAAAAAGACAATTATTTTTTTGTTGTAAGCGAGCGAAAGAGCACAGCGCAAAAGATTCTTCGACACGACAACAACGACGGCGTACAAAATAAACCACTTTTTCGAAATTATGGTCAATTCTTCAGGTTTCAGGTTTTCTTGTGTCACTCTTGTCGGTTCTCCTTACCACCTCTCTCTCTCCTGACTCTCTGGCAATGGTACACACAACACTCTCTCGCACACACACTCAAACCACTGCTTAATCCATAGGTAGGTTTTTGTTGATTGGTTCAGAGTTTGATCTTTCCTTTAATTTCCAACAGCTTTTTTTATAAAACAATTTATATTTTTGCTTTTTTATGTTAACATTTTTTTGTTTATATTTTTTAAATCTGTTATTTATTTTCTTCACACACAAAACAATCTAGTTATTTCAAAAGACGTTTTCAACTGTCACTATTATTCCATTTTTAAATGTTACACAAAATATTTTTGAATCTGTCTTTCATTATTTCTTTTGCTTATTTTCCACTTGTTTTTGTTCAATTATTTTTATTCATTATTTTTATTTTCCACAATAAACAATTACTCTGCTTCCTTCTTCCTTATTCTTTGATGAAATTCCTTAATTGTTTGTTTCTTTCTGCACGGCGCAAGCGTTCATTCGTTTGTTTCCTAGCTACTCTACTATTTTATGTGCTTATGATGCGCTGCTTGTTGTTGTTGTTTTTTTGAAATTCGTGCGCGCGTTCTTCGTGCATGCGTGGACGTTGATGGTTCTGCGACGACTTTACAGTGAATTCTTCTCTTGATAGCATTGTTGGTGGTGTGTTTGATATTTATCTGGTTACTTTTGGTGCGAGTACATGGATGAGTGAGTGAGTAACCAACTAATTGTGTGTGTGCCTGCAAACACAACTGTGTGAACAGTGTTGCCAACCGTAAACATTAGTTAGTAGAGTTTTAAAAGTGACATTTGGACACAATGGAAATTTGTCATTTAAAGTAAAACAATAAAACAGCAAGCTAATAAACATTATTGTATGACGATGAAAAGAAAGTGTACAATATTTGCTTCTTTGTAATCAATAGAAATAGGGTGCACAAGTTTGAAAAACGCCTTCTGTCAATGATCATGACACAAATAAAGGCGTGTTTGTAACGACACTTTGTGTAGACAATAGATACAAACCATATATTAAAATGTTTGTCAAATTTCTAGAGGCTGTCTTGTAAATATGGAAAAGAGACAGGGAACTTCAAAATATTAATATATATATAAATTATTATTTCAAAGGAAGATATTTTCATTTAAATTTTGAAAGCTGAATACTGTCAAAGGCAAATTTATGAACCTTGTATAATTATGCCATGAATATTGCAAAACACAATTTCAAATAATGAAAAAATCGACTAAAATGGATTAAACATAAAAAGAATCGGAAGATAATACTTTGAAAAAGAAATAAAAATATTATTTTCATTCATGAATATGAAATTTGGGTTTCAAATTCTCTGGACGCATACGTCACAATGGCAATTTTTAATTTTTTGACAATTAATACATGAACTCAATTGTAGAACTTGTAGACGCATGCCTTCTAACAGCCTGTTTTTGTAAAATTCCAAACGAACGAATTCGAGTGACTTACGACCAAACTCCTTGGTTTTGAAAAATATGTCATTTATTTTTGTTTTGAATCAAGAAACATTTTTTACATAAATAAAGGTTTGGTAGTAATTCGTTCGAATTGTTTCGTTTCGAATTTTACAAAAACAACCTGTAAGTAATAAATATTTTTTATGAATAATATTTACACAATACTTATTCTATGACGATTTAGAATATTCTAAATGATAGTAAGCAAATTTTTAACTGAAAAAACAACAAATAAAATGCCATTGGAAATCATATTGATAAAGATGCATGCTGAACCAAATATTTTTTTTAAATTATCGTGTGCATGATTTAAGGAAGAAATAAAGGAGGAGGAACAAATCATAACATAACTGGCCACTTTAAGAATTTAGGTAGATAAAATATCGAAATTAAATAAAAATGCACACAATTATGTAATGAAAAAATAAACTGTGAATTAATTCAATCGCCGATTTCTTCCTATTATTCGTTGTGTTTTTGCCATCATAAAAAAGTTATTTTATTTGTAATCTATTGTAGTTGTTGCACCAAATTGCATCAAAACAATGAACAGCTTTTTCACATGCACTATGGTATGTGTTGCCATATTTTTAAACTTTAATTTATTTTCTTTTAATTACAAAGCATTTATACAGCGGATTATTGATATTTCACATTTGTATTGTTATATAGTTTGAATAACAATAAAAAGTAAACATTTTTAATAAAAAAAATCAATAAAAAAATATTAAAAAATTTTACACAATTAAATTACAATATGGCCACACACATTACAACTTAAATTACAATATGGCAACACAAATCTTTTTTTCAACCACCATTCTTTCAGAATAAGGCGAGAATGTGAAAGCGAAAAATTTTTTACATGCGAGATATCTCCCATTTCTTGACATTTCACGCTTTCAGATCACAAAGTGGCTGTCTTAACCTTTAGCTATTTTTGTGTGCCTAAAAGTATGCAACATAAAATGACATTTGTCAATTTAATAACAGAACTTCTATTACGATTAGAACAAAAAATAGCATGAGTACTGTTTAGAGGGTTATTTTACAATCCAAAATATTCGGATTCTAAACACACATTGATATTTGAAATTTTAATAACAATAAGTGGTGACAAACTAAAGCAATAGAATAAAATATCGCGGAACCACAATCACAGTTGGTTGATCTGCTAAAGGACATGTGTATGAATCATTCATTCATGACAATCAAAGTCCAGTTGTAATTTTCGAGAGTTCTAAACAGACGATAAGTTCACAATGTATTTTTTTAGTAAGGTAAATTCAAAACATGAGGCAACGTAATGTTCATTCAGCCTTATTCTGGATATTCGCAATCATATAAAAAATTTTTCGCTTTCACATTCTCGCCTTATTCTGAATGAATAGGGAGACGCAAAAAATGCGAGATGCAGATTCGAGTTTTCGAAAATGGTGGTTGAAAAATAGATTTGTGTTGCCATATTGAAGTTGTAATGTGTGTGGCCATATTGTAATTTAAGTTGCAATGTGTGTTGCCCCATTGTAATTTAATTGTGTAATATTTTTCAATATTTCATTTTCTTGATTTTTTTATTAAAAATGTTTACTTTTTATTGTTATTTAAACTATATAACAATAAAAAAGTTCACAATGTATTTTTTTAGCAAAGGAATCCGAAGGGAAATTCAAAACATGTACTCAAAAAAAGCGTTAGGCAACGTAATGTTCAATCATCTACAATCTGGCAACTAAATATAGATTAAATCTCCAGACAACCCAAGAATTGCCAATGTTGCTCATAGAAGGGCCCCAAAAAAGGAAACGTTTCAAATATGTTTTTTTGTAAAAAAATACATCCAAAGACAAATATTTACTTACTATGTCCGAAATTAAAAAAAAAAACTTGTCGATTTGTATTATTTATTTTATTTATTTTTTTTTGTGGTAATTTTTCTGTTTTAATTACTGTTCTTGTATATGTATAAATAGATATAAATGTTATTGTAAATATAAATGTTGTTATTACATATGTTATTATTTTAATTATTATTATAATTTTTCTTGTTGTTGTTATCGTTAATTGTTGTTTTTTTTTTTTGCAATAATTATAATTAAAAATTAGAAATGCTGGTGTTGTTTATCATGAGTTGTGTTTTACCTTTTGTTTTTCTTTTCGTTTTTTGTAAATTTCGAAAATATCAAAAAATAATATATATTAAATATAAACAATACTGGAATAATAATTTATAAATAAAACAAAAAAAATATATATTTAACTAATATATTAAATTGTAAATGGTTTTGTTTTTTCGATTTTTGGAAAATATAATTATATATTTTGAGCCCAATTGGAAGAAAACTCCGAATATCAAATTTTGTTTTTTTAATAACTATTATTCTTTATCAAATCTGTGGTTTGTTTTATATTGATAATTGTATTTATTTTTTAATGTATGGTAGTATGTATTGTATAAATTGTTATATTTATTGTTGAACAAAAAAATTAATAATTGTATTAAAAAAAGTATGTTTGCGTATGTAGTTGTGTAAGTGTATTGCTTTTGATGTCTTGTGGATGGGTGTGGTTTTGTTATATATTTAGAAAAAATCTACTTTTTCTTGAGATATTTTTTTGTTTTTGTAAAAAATTGTCTTAATTTTCCTTAGCAATGCTTTTGTTATTATGTTTTTTTTTTTCTTTATAATATGGCAATTAGTTGATTTCAAGTCTTTTGTTTTCCTTATCTTTTATTACCGGAATTACAGCAGTGGAAGTAAAATTTGGAAAAGTTTTCGTTTTTATTGATTGTTGGTTGATTGGTTTGGTCAGAGAGGAGAGATTGTTTTTGGTATAAATTTACGTTTTTCTAATTCTCTTGATTTCAATTATTTTTAATCAGTCTATTTTTTGTAAGGACTTGTTCCCTTTTGTGTGTTTGGCCAAATTTAGAGGAGAGCAAAGTCGTTATTTTTTGTTAAATGCCATACAGTCAAAGTCGTATATGGAACGAACTTGGCAATTTTTTTTCCATTCACACTAACTTAGTAAAAAAACAATGCAAGCAGTCACTTAGAAAATAATTCCAAGCATATCGACATGGCTTGGCACCTAGTTCCTTACAATCGTATATGACACTATAGAGATTGGATTTTTACGATTTTTCTGTGGAATATCAAATATAAGGAATGGAATTGATTTGTTGTTGGATTTCATTTACATTTATATAACAAAATACTTATTCAAAGGAATATGTCTTTTTTCGAATGTATATAAAAAATAAAATACGAATACAAAAAAAGTTAAAGGTAAATTATTTTCGATACACGAGTGTCACAGAGAGAGATGATAGATAGAGACAGGCGAGTTATACAAGAGAGCAAAAAATACAATACAATATAACATAAAATACTATAGACTAGATACAAAAAATATATGTATATAAGTGTATGTATTTAGAGGATATTTTTTTCAAGGTTTATCATATTAGAAAAAAAAATCATTAAATTAAACATTGAAATTAAATCTAGAGTTGTGTATTAAACAAGTTTTTATCATTTTTTTCAAGTGTGGTTTGTAAAAATAGTTTGGTTTCTCTTTTTTTATCTCTTAAATTTCTTTTATAAAACCTAAAACGAAAATTGTCATGACTGGACAGATGATCTATCATATCAAAGAAATAAAGAGAGCTGTTTGAAAATAGTAATAAATATATGCCATAAATAATTATCAAAGCAAAATCTTACACTTATTACAAATTGTGTAATTGCCTAAGGAGGAGTTGAGTTAAGCAAAAACACAGAAACACATGGATCATCATCATCATCATGGAGAATTAGTATTTAAGGAGGTTTGTGTAAATTTTTTCTTCCATTTTTTTTGATTGGGACATACTTAGGTGGGGGGTAGGTAGGTAGGAGAGGAGATCATAGTTTTAATTATCATTTCGTTTTTCTTACTTTTCTTTCATTCATCATATAAACAAATTACTTAATCTAGTTTACTAAAAAACTTTATGTTTTGTTTGTTTCTTATTTTGATATATCGACGACCCAAATGAAAAAGTCAATTTTATAGAACAAAAAAAAAGAAAATACTTAATCTTGCCATTCATTTTCATCCACACCCTCCATATCGTCTTGCTCCAATTTGGTGTTATATTCCATGCGTGCACTAACCGATTTTTGTATCTAAAAAATTCAATGAATGAAAAAGTGTAATGGTTTTTAGGACTTCTAAGACAGATCATGTTTATGCGAATTATTACCTCTTTTTGCTTAATTCTATCCGTATCAAATTTATTTGTGAAATGTTCATTTGAAGTTGTAACGTTTTCTGTACGTTTAGTTTGTTGACTAACCACCGGTTGTATGGATGACACTGGAAATAGAATTAAAATATAAATAGGAATATAGCACAATTAACACTAGATAGCCGAAGGCAGTCATTTTGACCGTTTTTCAATTTCAAGTACAAAAACAATTGTGTATATTATGACCCAGCTTTTTAAAATTTGGTGACTTTTTGTACCACATAGAACTACGTTTATTAATCATAGTAGCTGCTTCCTCCCCTCTTTCATTCCCCGTATTCACATGTGCTATACCTATATAGCCTAAAAGCGGTCATTTTGACTTTTTGTGAAATATTAAATAATCAAAATACTTTTATTATTGTATAAAGTATATTTCTTATATGACAAGATCACTACAACAACATCGAAAACCGTTTGATACTCTAGAAACACAAACGAACACACAAATCGGGAAAAATAAATTTTATATTTCCAGTCGATTTCACTCTTAGAGTAAAGACTTCCTCTTTTTTCGAACATTTTGTCCGCGCTCTTATTTTTCAAAAGGGGAAACTCGAGAGCCCTACCACCGAAAACAAATAATAACAACGTTTTGTATGATTGTAAATATTGTAAAAAATATTAAAAAAATAGTTTAAAAAAATTTCTTTACAAAATAAAAATTTTTTCAGAATGAAGTCATTTTGACCGATTTTAGGCAATATAGGTATATACAAAATTCCCGTCTTTCCAGTGTTAAGTAGAATTCTATAAGAACTGTATCTCCCGAATGCAAGGAGATATCGATGTCACATTTTGTTCATATCCTATTTAGGATAGTTGCATTAAATCTGTGAACAGAAAATTGTTCTATGATTACGGAAAAAAGGGGGTTAATAATCTGAAATTTATACAAATTTTTTAGAGTACATGAATTTATTTTTGAGGGTAAATTTTTTAGAATATTTGGATGACAAAAATCCCGTATTGTGCAATATAGGTATATACAAAATTCCCGTCTTTCCAGTGTTAAGTAGAATTCTATAAGAACTGTATCTCCCGAATGCAAGGAGATATCGATGTCACATTTTGTTCATATCCTATTTAGGATAGTTGCATTAAATCTGTGAACAGAAAATTGTTCTATGATTACGGAAAAAAGGGGGTTAATAATCTGAAATTTATACAAATTTTTTAGAGTACATGAATTTATTTTTGAGGGTAAATTTTTTAGAATATTTGGATGACAAAAATCCCGTATTGTGGTAATTAGTTTGTGGTCCAACAAAAAGGCGAAAATAAAATATGTATATTGAGTGTTGATTGTTTTTCGGTTTTTTCTGTTGATATTCGTCTATATATATAAAAGAGTTGCGTTATAAGCGACTGACTGATCATCAACGCCCAGACGAAACGGCTAAAGCTAGAAGCTTGAAATTTGGCATGTAGGTGGGGTTTGGTGAGTAGGCGTGTGATAAGGCGGGGTTTTTGGAAATTCGTACTAAAAGTTACTAAAAAGTACTAAAAACTGTATTACGCGGGAACGGTTAGATGTAGAACTTTGAAATTTGGCACGTAGCTTTGTCTATGGCGAGCGGACTAGAATTTGTGAAAAAAAATTTGGAATTTAGTACTTAGATGTACTAAAAAGTACTAAATATTGTATTTGAATGGAATTGGTGAAGATTCATAACTGAAACTTGGTATGGAGCTTAAGCCATTACAAAGAGAATACTGTGCAAAAATATTTTTTGGACATTAGTAGGGGAGAGGGGGGCACCTTTGAACGTGGGGCACCTTTGAACAGCGCTCATAAAATCTTGGTTTAATATTTTTCCGACCCGCAACCACATTTTTGTATATGGCAATCTTGTTCTCTATATGCGTAAACCACTTTGGCTTGCTTTTTCAGTTGTCGAAAAATTGTGCATGGGTGACCATGTTTTCTCAGTGTCATTGTAAACTTTTATTCATTTGGTTGTAAGGGCGCAGGAAGAATTCTGTGATAGTTTTCTTTCGTCAAACAAATTTTTTGCATTCCAGCAATCATTTCAAACATAACTAATGTAATTTCTTTCATATATATTTATTACAAAAAAAGTTATTTTAAAGTTCCGTAAAATGCCATGGGTGGGGCACCTTTGAACATGCCCATTAAACTCGAGTAAAAAAAGGAGATTTTAACTTTTGGCTTCGATTTCTCAAAATTTCAAATGGGCTAATAAGATTACGAAATTAACTGTATTTTTCACCATACTAATTTGTATTTTTAAGACATTTTATGTTTTAATAATTTTTGATCTAAATTTTTTAAATTTTGAAAATTTTTAATATATTTTTTAATGAATTAATGCTTTTCTGATATGTATGAATAAAATACATACATATTTGAACATAAACACTGTAAAAAACCATGTCGTTCAAAAATGCCAACCCCTGTTCAAAGGTGCCCCCCTGGGGGGGCAGTTTTGAACACTTTGAGTTCGTCCTTTAAAACAGTAATAAAATATATTTATCAAGCTTATAGTATGTCATATGTATATTCATTTTAAAGGTTACATATGTACCTATTAGTTAAAATTTATAAGAAACCAAAAATGATAAAATAAAAAATTTTATAAGGCTTGAAAGCAAAAAGTGTTCAAAGGTGCCCCCCTCTCCCCTACTAAAAGTTACTAAAAAGTACTAAAACTGTATTACTCCGGAACGGTTGGAAGTAGAACTCTGAAATTTGGTATGCAGCTTTGTCAGTGATTAGCAAATCAGAATTTGTGAACAAGTTATGGAAATTAGTACTAAAGGTACTAAAATGTACTAAATATTATACTACGATGGAAAATGTAGAGATAGATGTCTGAAATTTGGTATGTAGCTTAAGTCATTAAAAATAAAATGATGTACAAAAAATATTTTTTGGAAATTAGAACAAATATGGTACTAAATAGTACTAAAAACTGTATTACGCCAGAACGGTTGGAACTACAACTCTAAAATTTGGTATGCAGCTTTGTCATTTATAAACAAATCAGAATGTGTGAACAAATTTTGCAAATTAGTACTAAATATTATACTACGATGAAACAGGTAGGGATAGATATCTGAAATTTGGTATGTAACTTAAGCTATTACAAGTAGAATGATGGACAAACATATTTTTTTTTTTAATTAGTACTAGAATATACTAAAAAGTTCTGAAATTTCACATATAGCTTTAACTATTAAAAATAGAATACTATGCCATTTTTTTTAATTTAGCACTAAAGTTGCGATAAAAAGTACTAAATATGTAAATACAATGTAACTGGTAGAAATAGAAATCTGTAATTTTGTATGTAGCTTACTCTAAGCATAACTTTTTGGAATTAGTACTAAATACTGTAGTATAATGGAACCGGTAGGAATAGAAATCTGAAACACGGCACATAGATTTAATTATTACAAATACTATGCTATATATTAATATATTTTTGAAATTTGTACTAAAATGGTACAAAATATTAACTTATAATGGAAAAGTCAAATAGACCGATATGCACAAAATTGTACTAAATATTGTACCATAGTGAATGGTAAAAAATATAAATGTAAATTTAGAGTACAAAAATGTCCAACTATAATTAACAGGCTAGGTTTATTGAAAATTCGTACTAAATGGCATCATTAATACAAAATACTGCACAGTATGGGAACATTTTTTGTATATTATAAACAAATAGAATACGAATCGAATACAAGTACTAAATATTGTATACGGTAGAATGGATGAAGATAGGAACCTGTTATTAAATAATTATCTGGAACTATGACAATAACCATTTATACATAAAAATTTTGCATTAATAACTTCTAAAATGTACTAAAAAGTTCAACACATTGTATACGGCGGTACGGGTGGATATAAAAACAATGCTTTTGGCAATATTGTTTGACATTTGTACATAAAGTACTAAATATTTTATACGACAGAACGAGTAGAGGTAGAGTCCTGAAATTTTGTATGTATATTTTGTTTAAACAAATTAAAAAAAGTATTTTTTTTAATTTTTAGTAAAAAGTACTAAATAGAAAATGTTAGAGAAAGATATCCGAATTTTAGTATTACTCTTTGACTATGGTAAATAAAATGTTTAATGGAAATATATACGGTTATATGAAATATAGTTTCGAATCCCACATGAATCTATACTACAGCGAATGATTATGTGAATTTTGGTTAAAATTTCTAGTGTAGTGAAAAACAGGCGAGACTTCAAATACAAATAAGTGAAACTATGCAATAAGCCGCTGAACATCACAAGTACTAAAGTGTAGTCAATTTTAAATGCTAAAGTTCCAAATTTTCTAAAATAACAATACTGATATTTCCAATGATGTTTCCAACCACATTGGATCGATCTTTTGATGTAATGAATAATGGGCTGGATCATTATTATGAGGATATACTAAAAATACCGACAATACCATTGAGTATTTTGTAATACGTAACGCACCAGAAATACTAAATTTCTGCAATTTTAATGGAAATCTTCACTATAAAGGCAGGTCTCTGAATAAGAAATGATGCGCTGTGCAAAATTGTAATTTGTACTATAAGGGTACTACTATCAGTACTAAAACGAACTAGATATTTTACCATTAGTATTAAATTACCGGAAGGAACAAAAAAGGTTAACACAGTATTATAGAACTTTTTACATCAGTCCATCGGGACGATCGAGAAAATAGTAAACTTACAGAACTTGTACTCGATTTAGTAGGATAGAAGCATTAATGTTTCTGTACGAAAGAAATACGGAGTAAGATCTGAGATTAAAACAAACATATTAAGATATAAAACCTATAATAAAAATGTTTCAAATTTGTACTTAATCCAAAAGTATATTGCGTAGCTAAAATAATGTTTATTTATTTAACTATAAAAAGTTTCGCTAACAACGTAGCGGGCCTATGCTAGTATAATTATATTAGTTGAGCTTAAGATCGTTTGTAATTTTTTATTTATTGCAAAGATTTCCCGATATTTCGCAATTATCAAATTTCGCGTTTTCTGCTGAAAAATATAGCTTCAATTTTGTCCGTGTTTTGAAGAATTTTCCATTTGCAGAAATAGTTGTCTAGCTGCATTAGAGCAGCTTCTAAACTGTTAGTGGATAGAAAGAATGTTCTTCCACAAAGAAAACTTTGTATTAGTTTAATGATTACCATAGGGTAGTGTAATAAACACATCTTGTAGACCAGACCATTGTACCATACAGAATCAAAAGCTGATTTGATATCCAATAAAACCATACCAGTAGATTTGCCAGAGGAAATGTTGTCATGAACAAAATTTCTTATTTTAAACAAAGGATGGTTTGTGTTGTGTTCTCTCCTGAATCCAAATTGCTGAGGAGGAATAATATTGTTTCGATCAATAAAATTAATTATTTTTTTTCAAGTGAGTTATTTATACTCTTTCGAGTCGAGCTTAATGATCGAAGTTTTGCAATGAAAAGGAAAACCACGAGAAGAACTTACGTACCCATCATTATGCGACGCGTTTCGCCGTTGGTTAAGGGGCTTTCAGGTATATTGGTCTATGTGGCTTTAAAGGTCGTATGTTGATAACTTGTATTTATTCCGACCAGATGTGAAACTTGCATGGGCGAATTAAATTCGAATTTGTCAAGATTTGCTCAACCGTTTTGGAAGTGTTGATGGCTCAGAATATGCACGATCTACAATGTTAACCTTCTGTTGTAATTGTTCTCTGAGTGTAATGCACGTATCTTGCCAAAGTTTGGTATGCGATTGTTAAGCTTTGTGTCCGATTTTGTTATTCGTGGTACCCACATAAAATTGTCCACAATTTCTCATCTTTCGTTCCATCACATTCAATACGGTATATCACATTATGTCCCTCAGTAATTGGAATTTTACTTTTAGGTTTATAGTAAATAAACATTGAAGTGTATTGTTTGTCCTAGATGATATCTGCAACTTATCTTTGTCATATAGATCTGATTTATGGAATCTTTCAGATATTCCCGGAATACAAAATCATTAATATATAATGTTTTTCTGATTTCTCTTTCGTTTTTGGTGTATTGTAGTTGTTTTAGAAGTTTTCTATAACAAATTTTGGAAAACATTTTTTTTTTGGTCAGTATTTCTCGTATTTCATTCTTATTATTTTTCATGGAACTTATTGTCGCTGATATTAAAAATTCTGTTTATAAGGTTTCTTCCTTTGTTTATAATCATTTGTTTTCGGTGTTTGGAGCAGAAATTTAATATGCGACGAACTTCGTAATATCACATGTTTTGTTTTTAGTTTTTCCATACAGGTGTCAAGTAGTTTCTCCATCACTATATCAGCTACAATCGGAGAAATGGGTGAACCCATTGGTAACCCTTTCTTTTGTTTGTATATCTTGTTCTCATATTGAGAATAGCTGTTGTCTTTAATGCAGAACTTTAAAATACTAAAAATAATTTGACTTTTGACTATATAATGTTTATATCGTATTTGCATAACAGTATTGATGGTGGTTCACAGGGGGAAATTTTCTTTATGGATCTTGAGTAGTCCATATAGTCTTGGTGCTATAGCCACATCTCTCTATTGTCGATATAATCTTGTTTTTAAATAATTCTTCTACGAGTTATTATTTTTATTGGAAAAAATTTTGTTGGGTTTTTGATTAATTGTTGATAAGTCATCATGTCACCTAATATATTAGTCATTCGTTGATGTACAAATACTCCAAATTTAAATGACGATAGGCTTTACAAAAATGTATCATTCCATAGATGAACCAGGATGACATTCTGAAATAAGTCTCAGACCCGTGAACTGAAACAACAAGTTTCCAATGCAGGAGTGATATCTCCGAAATGTTTAAATCCCTACCTCGGAATGTATTATTTCTTTGTTCCCTAAACACCCATAATAACACCCACAACATGACATATATACTTACATGTATCCATGCCTTCGGGTTGTAAACTAATCTTTTTCGGTTTCTTATCGTTCGACATAAACCATTCTTCGGCTGTCATTGTGGGCAACCAAGTGACACGGGTTGGTGGGAACAAATCATCTTGGAATAATTCACTCTGAAAAAAGAAATAAAATCAAATTTTAAATCAATAACCACGTTATACTTCCACACAAAATAGTTACATACCTTAATACGTGGCACTGTAAAACTCAATGGTTCAATTGTTGTGTTTGTCAAACGATAAGCTTTGCAAAATTCAACACTTGCCACATCACAATGATTCTTGGTAAGGAAACTTAGCCCCTGATGTAATGATGTACAGCGATGATGTGACAGTGGACATATGTAGGGCTCCTCGTCGGTTATTTCGTAACAATAGATAGTTGAATCTCCCTTGCCCGTGACAAATAAAGTCGAACTGTCCTCATCGTAGAAGGGTATGAGAATGGATGGTGAAACATCTAGACTGGCTGTATTTAGTGGGGCATTTAAACTATCAGCCTTGTAGACACTGATTTGACGTTCGGAAACTCTGAAAGAAAGCACGAAATAAAAAATAAAAATCAAGAGAATTTGAAATAGTCTTCCCCGAAAAAAATCTTTTGTATTTTATACTCACTTATCGAATCCTGTGCACACAATATATTGTCCATCCAAGGCCCACACAATACGAGCTCCTCTCGTACCAACTGGTCCATTACCCTCACGTATTGGTGTCTCTGATTTCCTTGGATTGTATATTCGTATTTTACCATCCTTACTGACTGTGGCACCATATTTGCCACATGGACTCCAGGCAAAATCAAATATCTGATCTGTATGCCCGGTCAAAACGCATTTCTCCTCCTTGGTGGGTATGTGCCATAATTTAATGGTCATATCATAACTAGCCGTTAATAGAATATCCTGAGCCAAGGGATGGAATCGTATAAAATAGATTTTATCCAAATGGGAATTCAACTCCTGTTCGGGTGTGTTGGTTGGTTCGGTTAAACCGCCTTCGGGTATGCGCCAAAATTTCACCATACCATCATCACAAGCCACAGCCAAACGTTTTGGATCGAATGGATCCCATTGGAAATCCATGATATTGTTACCATTCACCAGCGACGGTATGACACCATCGGGCAGACGTCCTGGTTTGCTTAATTCAAAAATGGCAATTTTACCACCAGGTCCGGATAGGGGTACGGCCACACGTTCATGATTTGCCGTGAAACCATTACATTCACCGGGTATTTGACGGCTTAGGTTGCGTAAATTTTCAATGTGTGTGGATTTGTGGCCGGGCGTACCTTTGAGATGGCGAAATTTGGAAACTTTACCAAACACCGTCGAAGTTCTCTTGGTCGAGGTGGTGATGGCAGCTTCAGTTGCAGATTTTTTAATGGCCGCTGAACTGGAACCATTATCACATACTTCTTTGGTTGGCAAATTGCGACGTTTCTCTTCCAGCAATTTACCTTCTGGCACTGAGGTCCGTTTGATATCAATCGAACCAGATTTTGTTGAATCAACTTTGGATAATTCACGGCGTCTAAAGGATTCGAAATCAGATTAAATTGAACATTTTATTTAATGTTCCACCACCAAGTGGTTCTTTGACTTACAATGGCACTGGTGATTGAGCTCTATCCTCTGTGGTACTCTTCGAATGCAATTCATACAATCGTCGTCTTTCTGCAATGCTATTGCGGGCTGGTGAAAATCTACGCAATTCCGATTCAGCCTTGTCATCACCTTCAGTTGAATTTTCCGATGATTCTGAGTGATTCTGTTCGAAAATCTTTAGAAGATGAAATTTTCTGATTAGCAAATATTTCAATATTTATTGGTATTACAATAATAACAACCTTGTCGCTGGAATCTTCATCATCCAGTGAAGACTATATTTAACAACGTAGATCATGTGTGAGCAAAAATTAGTTGTGGTAGTACAAAAAAGTGGGTGTTAGTAGTTTGTTTTGGTTATTATTTGTGTGTGAAGAAGATAAAGTAGAATAAAGAATGATTGATTAGAGAATATTTTTTTTATACATAAGTTAATTATTTTGAAAGATTAGTTTATAGAAATTATGTGACGGTGATTCAATCAATTATGTCGAAAAATGACTCATACTTACTTTACGCCTTTCTGACGTAGATAACGATTTTTGTAGTCCATTGTTCTCATTATTATCGGTTTCTGTTGTGGTTTCTAAAAAAAGGTTTAAGAAATAAATGCATTTTTTGTTGTTTTTAGAAAAGTAGTTGAAACTCATTTGAGTCTGCTGCTGATTAAAATCTAATTTTTCTTTAATACTTACTTTTAATTTCAATTTCAACGATTAAATCTGGTTTATTGGCCGATGGAGAGGTTGCATCAGTTTCATGTGTTGCAGGTGGTTCAGACTTTGATAGATTTTCCTGGGAGCCGGGAGCAACGGGCACAGCAAATACCTTATCAAAGGTAACATCTGCTGCATTGCTGGAGAAGGGTTTGGGACCCAAACGTGGCTAAAAAAAAATAAACATACAAAAATATAATGAAAAACATTTTTTTCAAACACTAAAACTAAAAAAATAGGTGGAGACAATAAAAAAACATTGCATTGAAATAAGAAAACAAAAATCACAACCAAAAATGCAAAGTGCCAAATTTACCTAAAAACAAACAAAAAAATTAAAATTTTTTCAAAGAAAGAAAAAATAAAACAAAATCTGGTGCGAAAAACAACAACAACGAGAACCGAGGGAAAATTCGCAAACCTTATAGGCACTAGCCGTAGTACGTGGCCTTGGCTTGGGCATAACCTTATTACCGTCCATTGGTAAATTTGGCATAGAATCTTGCAAGGAATTATTGCGTGAAGTACGCGGCATAGGTTTCGGTACAGAAGACGATGAATCCTCGGTATTTGGTGAATCTTGTGACGGTGGACTGTGGCCAGCAACATCATCGTCGTGCAACTGTTCATCGTCATAGCCCGCCCCCGCACTTTCCTTTTCTGAATCTGTTTTATATTTGCTATCGAATTTCTTGAAAATATTTGATAATTCATCTGTTTCGGCCACATCTTGTTTGGGAGATTTTAGCGATTTGGCAATGATTTGTTGTGTTGGTGGAGGTGGATTATTTGCATTGTGACTGCCATTGAATTGTTGTTTATCATCGAGTTTTTTGTTTTCGATATTTTTTACATATTCTTTTAAATTTCCGCGGTGAATCTTTTTTATTTTTGAGACACAATATGATAGATAGATAAACAATTTACAAATACAGGGGGAAAGAGAGAAACAAGTGTTAAGCATTTAAGTGTTTTTGGAGGGAAACCATAATGATTACTTACAACAACAGGGGCATCGCCCAATTCACGTTTGGCAGGATCCAAACTCATTTTCGGTACGGCCATATTAGAACCATTCATCCATTCGGCTGCAGTTAATTCGGTACGGCAACTAGCAGTATCGGGATATAAATCACTATGGAAATCTCTATAAGTCTGTAAAACAAATTGTTTTTTCAAAATGTAATTTTTAATTAAAAAAAAAAAACACCCACACACACACACGTTTACTCACCTTACGTGGCACCTGATACATAATCGGTATGACCATATTCGAAGTTAGCTGTAGCACTCGATTTACCTCACCCTCCATAACTTTAAGGGCCCGTTTTGGTATCAAACAAGCACCCTTGGTCTGTTCACCGGTATGGCGAAGACCCTCAATTAGATAGGGATCTTTATCGGTGACCTCTAGATAATTGATTGTAGTATCACCCTTACCGGCCAAAAAGAGCATATTTGTGTCCGGATCGAATAGCGGCATTAAGATACCCGTTGAACAGTCTAATTCTAAGGTTTTTTCGGGCACCGAAAAATTACGTATATCACGAATTATCACCTGACGTAGACGGGCCGAGTCGAAACCCGTGGTTAGGATACGAGATTGATTTCCCAGCCACACAACACGGGAATCTTTAATACTTTGATGGGATTCGGCGGACATTTGTATGGGTGAGCCATTCACACGGCAATCTAAAATTCGTACAAATTTATCTTTGCAGCTGGTGGCAATTACGGTGCCATCCTGACGCCAACTTGCCGATTGTATAACCTCTGGATGTTCATTATTTGCTGGAAAAAAAATATTCAAATAATTTCGTTAAAAAAATCATCCTTATTAGAGGTTTCTGAGTACACACTTACAATAAATTTCCTTTTGGGCTGTCAAATCAAATAATGTCACACAACCGGCCGAGGTTGAGTGCAGCAAACCATCGGCTGTGGGATGAAAACCCACTGTCTCCACCCTCCGCTGTTTGTGTGAAAATACACACTCGGGATCCGATAGCGAAGACTCCAAACCCTTTTCCGGTATATGCCATATTTTCACCATACAATCCTGTGATGCCGTTGCCAACAGCCCATCATGAAATGGTGAAAATCCCAAATCCGTTACCGTATCCGAGTGGGCATGCAACAATGGCATAGTTTTGCTTTTACGTCCACAATCGTCCAATGGCAATACAGCCACACTGGATCCGGTATGTTCCCAATTGAATGCCATAAAGGCTGCCGAGGCAGCAATATTATTGCCATAGGTTTGATAGGAACCTACACATATGTCACGTATGCATGCTTCCGGCTTGGGTACAATCGGTGCTGCATTCTTATATTTTGATGCTTTAAAACGCCAGGCCATTGTAATCAACAGGCAGTAGCAGTCGGCCGTATAAGTAAAGTATATAAAACAAAGTTGTTCTTCTCTATCTCTCTCTCCGAGTTGTTCCGAGTACAAAAAAGACGTTATTGTTAATCAAACTGAATTAAGTTTGTCGTCGTCGTTGTTGTTGTCGTCACTACTTCTTTGTATTCGATTTATTTAGTATATATTGTGAAAGTGTCCGATAAAATATTAAATGCTGTAAGTGTAGGAGTGATAATGGAAAGTTTTAATTTATATTATTGTTATTATTATTATGATTATTTACATAAATGTTGTTATGGTCATAGTTCATTTATTCATAATTTTTACTTGGCGATTAAGTAATGTTTTCAATTAAAATTTTCTGAAACTTAAAAAACACACATTTTTTAATTTAATTTATTTAAAATTGGGCGAAAATAAATTTTCATGCTTCTTATATTTAAACATGTCCTTATGTATTTCAAGTGAATCTTCGAGCTAATTTTAAATTTCAACATCGGTGGAAAGTGAGCACCCACTAGTCTGTGCCATCTGTAGGCCAGGACTGGGCAGCGACACAGAAGATGCTCAATTGTATCCGTCTCCTCCTCGTCTACGCAGAGTCTACAGTAATCAGCAGAATTATGGTCCCATTAACTGGTATCAGGGCCTTGATATTGCAATGACCAGAAATGTTTCCTGTCATTACTCTTATTTCAGCTTTGCTCATATTCAACAGTGAGTGTGTCCTTTTTGCAGACAGAGTCGGTCATATAGATCTTGACACATTGCACCTAGGTTCGCGGTGCCAAAGTTCATAAGCTCTTTCGTCCAAGAACGCCTCAAAGTTCCGATAAAGATGACATATGGGTGGTTTGAATGGGCCATTAATCGCTAGATTGAGATCCTCGTCCAGCTAATTCGTCTGATCTTTCATAACCCATGATGTCACGGTGTCCTGGTACCCAACACAACCGATAGCTGTAAGTAAGTTCTTCCAAAGCTGTTCTACACTGGCCTCAGATTTGATGTAATAGGATTTGATAGCTTTAAGAGCCGGCAGGCTATACACAAAGAAAGTCCCCGGTTCAACGATCTCTGCATCCAGACTTTTTATCAATTCCGCTGCCTTCCAAATCGCGAGAATTTCCGCTTGGAAAACACTATAGTTGCTATCCAGCTTGTAGGTTAACTCAAGGCCTAGCCTTTCACTGTGGACGCCAGCTCCTGTACCTTCTTCCATCTTGGATCTGTATAGAAATCCGGACCGTCCAGAGGAGGGTTACTCCGGTTCCAGCAGTCTCTACTAGGAATAACGACATCTACATCGTCAAATTTCAGGACTGGTGATATATCGTCGCTGGTTGGTTGTTCAATGTCATACCTGGTTTGTTCAACATACAATCATGCCCAAAGGTACAACTTCGCCAAAGATTTTGTTCATGCAGCCTTAGGGCACTACGTGCGGCCTGATACTTAATGTTGAGGTTCAGAGGCCTTAAGTTCAGCATTGCGTTCATAGCTGCTTGTAGCGTGCTCCTCATGGCTCCTGTTTTTAGAATCTAGTTTGCTGGATGTCGACTTGTTGCGCAGACAGTTCCACCAAACAGGAGAACCATAGGAAATGATGAACCTTACCACGATGCCCCCAAATTTTCCCAATGAAATTCTTGCGTGCATAGAGTGCAATCAGCCCTTTCTTCGCCCGTTCCTCAGCGTTCCTGTTCGCCTTGGCCCAGCGTAACAGCGTCAGTAAGGCTTTTTGCAAAAGCTCCGATATTGTTGACGGAAATTTTTCGGAACATGATAACTATACTCAACAGCAATTTTGAATCTTTTTGATGTACATCATGAAAATTATCTGTTCTTTTACTGACCCTTTTTCCCAATATGTCCCCATAGCTTCTTTTACAAATTTGTTATAACAAGTTTAGTTAAGTTTTCGCCTAATAAAAATATCGAAATTCGCAAAACTTAATATTGGCAAAACTTGTATGAATGTATAATTAAAATTTGCTTGCATAAATCAGTAATTTTAAAATTTCTTTTTTTTTTTTGTTTTCAATTTCACTAGGTAAACATGATTTTTTTCGTTTCTTCATTAGATATTCTGAGAGGGGGTTGGGTTGGTTGTCTTCTTTTGCTTATCAATTAGTTTTGTTGGTAAACAGCAATGGCCCCTTGTTAAAAATTATAAAAAAAGAAATGTGTTAAATGTTATCTATATTTTGAAGAAAATATGATTGTAGTTTTGTTATTGTATTGCTGAGGAAAATGTTGTTGAAGCAAAAGAACCAGATGTATGGGATATTTTTATTGGAGACATGCGAGTTGTAATATTTATATAGACATTTCGTAAATAAAAATATTCATTAAACACGATAAGGAGCTATGCATACTCTGTGCTGACGAGGAGAAGACGGAGACAATTGAGCATCTCCTGTGTCGCTGTCCAGTTCTGGCCTGCAGACGCCACAGACTAGCGGGTGCTCACTTTCCACCGTCTTTAAGCGTCTTCTCAACAATGGAACCTGCAACATCATTAGAAACCTAAAGTGCTTAGGAAAGAGCAACCTTAGTACGTAATGTTTTTTTCTGTCCAATTTCTTTAGTTATCGAAACTATTCTCAACGCCCTCCTAATAATAATAGCTTCATTTCCTTCCATGGTATAATAATAGAAGGTAACAGCAAGTGTTGTTGTACAAAAAACGATACAACAACCACATGGAAATTTGTTGTTGTAAGTTCTACTAGTGTCAACTCATTTGACAGAAAAATGTAAACAAACAAATTATCATCAAATTATTTTTATTTTGAAAATGAAATATTTTCGAATCCTCAAAATAAAAATTGAAAAACATGAATGAAAATCTATCAAATTTATATTTCTTTCGCTTCCACATCTTTCCTATAATTGAGCCACAGCCACATATATGTGTAACACATATGAATATGCAGGGAATAGCGAGTTGTTCCTTGAAGAAAGATTTGCTTCCTCAAACTTTCCCAGCAGGCAGATTGAGTAAGTTGAATACGGGAGCACATTTAATAATGAACAATTACAAATTCTATGCGTTCCCAATTTTCCTGTTGGGTGATTTTTAAAAACAAAATTTGTCAAATTCATATTGACACTAGTATTACGTTGGAATCAAATCAGCTGGGACTTGCTGTTACCTTTTATAATTGTACCATGATTTCCTTCCTTCCTTGCTCAAGTCCTTTTGTCTAATATTTTCATTATTAAAGGCTTGCCATGCTCTTTAGTATGAAAAAAGCGTTTGTAGAAAAGATGTGCTATATCATTCTTGGGCCACCCTGCTTATATTATTGTATTCCTATTCTTCTTGTTTTAGAGGCGAAACAGTGGAGGGGTTAATACAATAATTTCAATCAACCGGCTAGGCACATTTATAATTGTTGAATTTATATTCGTTATATTCCAAAGAAATGTTTGAATTTAATCCGCTAAAATGTTCCCATATAAAATTGTCCATACCTGTTAAATAAAATATTTAAAGATTACAAAGGTATTAAAAAATTTAAAAAAAGTTTTAACCTATTTTATGAAATATGTATTTTTTGGAAATCCACTCCCCCAAAGTGCTTTGCTGCAACACCTTTTAAATGTTTTAAGTAGATACATAGATATACCACCTCTATATGTCACACTTTTTTTGGTACCCACCCAACCAACCTATGAATGGAGTGAAAAATAAAACAAAAAATTCAATTTACATAAATATGCAAGTAGCCCAAAAAAATAGTAAAGGAAAATAGCATTTTGCAAAGGTAGATAACAAAAAAGAATAGAACCCTTAATTTGCCTCTTGGGTGGATTTGTACAATAATACAACAAACAAATAGACAGACAGACCGACTGGCACACACCACCCATCATTACCCATTTCCACATACATACACACTAGATCAACCCCTGAGTTGATCATCCGCATTCAATTCATCCACATTATAATCTTGGCAGAGCAATGACGACGGCAGCGAAAACAACAGCACCACTAACACCAAGTAGTTTTCCGCAGACGAACGAAATAAACAGCCAGAGTAAAGCCGCAACCCGGCTGGCTTGCAGGCAAACAACTAAACAACCAACCTCCTCTATCTATGTGGTAGCTTGAAGACAGGTTTTGCGCTGTGTGTCCATCCACATCCATTGCTGCCGATCTGATGTTGTTAAATCGCATAAATCAAATATAATAGAAAGTATGAACGGACAACGGACGTATGGACGGACACATATTGATATCACTTGTATAGCAAGCAGCAGGCAGCTAGCTCTTCTTATGTCCAAGCAGGCATCCAATAAGCAAAAATACAAAGCCATTACCATTCATACAAGGAATTAAGTAGAAATACATTTATCCACCATAAAAAGGCATTGAACAAATATTGCAAATTATGTCCAGCAGCAGTAGCAAAAAATAATAAAAAAAGAAATGATAAAGAAACCCACAAAAAAGGCCGTCATCTCTCGGCTAGTTGATTGGCTGTTTTATTATGAATCTCCGGTATTTTGGGCTCTCATTTCTCATTTTTTTATATATCACAACACCGCCGCCTTATTAATTTAGCACTCTTTATGCAATTCTCCGGTCGGTCGGTCGCTTGCTTCCTCTCTCCCAATAGCAGAGTGTGTCGTATACGAAAGCAATACCTTTTCATCCAGCCATCATATATCAAAGCAAGGAAATGGGAGAAAGGGCAACAAAATATATATGGACGACACAAAACATACACACTACTCACACACGCGCACACACAAACACACCAAGTGCATTCAGTTGGATTTAGCAAAACAAGCAACTTTTTGTCGTTGCTGCACTTTTGCAACATTTCTTCGATTTAATGCAATTAAATCAAAATCAATTACATGTTTCATCATTTGATTATGTACTGTTGTTGTTTTTTCTACTTTCGTATGACTAAGTACAAGCAACAAACAGGCTTAGTAATAATTTCTATTTTTACTTTCATAAAATATCAATTGCACTT